GTTGTTGATGGCAGTGGGTTGGGATTTTTAGATTGGCAGTGGCAATGGCCTATGAAACTTTTATTTTTGGGAAGACAGAGATGGGAGATTGTGAGGAGTTTGTTTAGGAAAGAGAAGTTATATGGGGGGAGAGAGAGAGAGAGATGGAAAGATTGTGAGAGAGTGTAAAATTAGACAGACATATCTTTCTTCCATATATATCTCAATAAATTAACTTTTATGATTTTCTATAAGTGAACAAAACTAACATCATTAGAGGTATTTTTTAGATTAAAAAAAAAGTGAAGTTAAGTGTTTAGATATAAGTTTAAAAACAGATTTACTCCCAAATAAATTTTTTTGTCGGATTCAAGTCATTATAAGTCCATCTACGATAACTCAACCCTAATTTTCACTTTTAAAAATACCTTATATTCACTTTAGATTTTCTAAAAGCATATACCTTCCCTTAAGTTTTCAAAAAAAAAAAAAATTATATCTTTAGAATAATTCAATTAGCGTATTTAAAAATCCTAATCATTTGATATTTAATAATAAAGTACTTTGATAATACTCCTCATTTAAGTTTTCAATAGAAACGCAACATCAATAACCACCAACCTCAACAAAATTCACCGAGAAAATTTTAGCATTATCCAACTATATTTACCAAATCAGAGAATATAGGGATCTTACATGGTTAGGTCACCTGCCTGGGTGATAGCTTACAAGCTTAAACAAATTACTCCTATAATCCTAACCATATGCCATTTTGAGTCATGTGACTCATTTTCGTATGTAAATTTCAGATACACACAATTACTCATAAATCATGCATATCGGATTAACTCTGGTTTAACACTAAGGGGAATCAAATATAAATGTATGAATTTATACTTTTCCTTGTGTTCAACCGATGAACCATCGGTGAGGATTGTGATCTCCTAACTATTTGATGATACATATATAATACCCTTGGCAACGGAAGAGCTACCCATAAACCAATGTTTGACCATTGAGCATAGCTAGGTTTTGATAATTCCAACATAGGTTCAACTCATTGGGGATAATTTAATCCATCGATTACGTTCTTCCATCAATTTTATACACAAATCCTATGTCCACGACATTGGAGTGAAATTTTCATAAGATTTAAAAATAATATGATTTCTAGAAGTTACAAAAACAATATAAAATATGAACAATTTTATCTCCACATTTACTGCCTTTTCTATTAGCTCCCCTTAATTTACAGGGTTAAGTATAAATTACACCCTGAAAGATCGTTTAAATCTTAATTTGCACGCCAAAGATAAAAAATCTCAATTTACACCCTCAAAAATAGAAATTTGTATCAATGTGCACCCCCAAAGATAAAAAAATCTCAATTTTCACACTCAAAGATAGAAATTTGTATCAATGTGTACCTCCAAAGATAAAAAAATCTCAATTTTCACCCTCAAAGATAGAAATTTGTATCAATGTGCACCTAAAACTAACTGTCATCAGTTTGCTGCCTAGAACTAAATTGATAAATTATATCTAAATTCTCTCATGCTGGTCACTTAAATCATTTGGACCCCTTCACAAAATAAAAGGTAATATGAAATTATACTTTTTTATTAGCATAAAATCATATTTTTTAACTGTTATAAAATCTTAATAAAAATACTCTCAATCTAAAATGTCCCTCCAATTGGGCTTTCAAATAATTATGTTTTAAGTGATATATTGCATTATATATAAAAAAAGTATTATATAAATACTTATATTCTATTAAACATTCAAATTGTAAGCTTGATTTTGAACTTTAGAATATATCGGACCTAGGGTAATATGAAATTATAATTTTTTATTAGAATAAAATCATATTTTTTAAAAGTTATATTAACAAATATCAACGAAAAAAGATTACGTGTTACACGTGCACAAATATCATAAAATGTAGTAAAAATATTCTAAATGTGAAAGGGGTCCAAATGATTAAGTAACAAGCACGAGGGGATATAGGAATAATTTATCAATTTAATTTTAGGCAGCAAACTGACGGCGGTTAGTTTTAGGTGCACATTGATACAAATTTTTATCTTTGAGGGTGTAAATTAAGATTTTTGATCTTTGAGGGTGTAAATTAAAATTTTTGATCTTTACGGGTACAAATTAAAATTCGAATAATCTTTCGGGGTGCGATTTATAATTAATCCTAATTTACGTTAGAATGGTAGATCTTTTTCCAGAAAGTAAAATGTAATAATGAAACCAAATATACAGGTTAATCACCCATAAAAAATACAGTGAAGTCGCATAAGACTCAAAAACCAAAAAATTTCATGGTAAACACAATTCTGTAAGAAATGCACCGACAGAATTGCAAACAAAGAGAACAAGGGTAATCAAACAGAAAAGATTTTTCAGATTCAAAACAGCTGCAAACCAGAAGCACCATAGCAGCCCCAATGGGCATGGCAGATGGAAAGGGAGCCCAGACGAGATAATACAACAATCCGCTAAAGCACAAGACCAGTAACATGAATAGTGTTGTGAACAGTGCACATAATCGGACTGGAATCCACATCTGTAGCAGAACAGTCAAGAACCCTAACAACAGAGGAAGAGGCAAGCTGGAAAGGCATCAACAGCACACATCAACGCATCCCAGCCAAACCAAACAACAAGCAGTACAAACAAGCTCAAAAGCTGAAGGGGCAAAGCAGCAGATAAAAGCAGTAGCATCGGGGAGCAAAACAGCAGAGAAATAAGTGCAGGAACCATCCCTCCAACAAAACGCTAGATGCAGGGAACCAAGAATAAGAAGAGCCAGACACCCTCTATAAAGCAACACATGTACATGCAAAACTAACAGAAACCACCACGAAGTGCAAGAGGGAAGAAATAGGAGTAAGGAAAAGCGATCAGCGAAAACCAAATGTCACCAAGAAATATAAAGAAGAAAGCCCCAGGGAAAGTAATCCCAAGCCTTCCCATGAAACTACTGAGCCTGGTACAGCAGCTCTGCCTTGAAGGACCACCACAGGTGCAAGAGAAATCCTCGCAAAAAGCAGAACCAAAGTCCACAGGGCAGTCACAGACCACCACAGAGAAACAATTCTGAAGAAAAATGTAGACACTGATGTATGAACCACATTGAATGAAAGAAACCATTTTCCTAAAATGCCTGATCAAAATACAAACCACCCTAAGAAAAACCAGCAGCAGCGTGTGGGTCATAAGCAACAGATGTAGAGAACATCTCCACCAACCAAAATAAAGAAAAACCATTAGCCAAATATGAAAAACCAGTAACCATAGACCAGCAGCAACGTGTGGGTCATAAGCAAAAGATGTAAAGTAACATTACCACCAACCAACACGAAGGCCAGAAAGAAAACCAACAAAACCAGTAAGGACCACCAGGAAAGAAAGCATCATAGATAATAGAAAACAAACAGTAATGAAACCCATGGAACCCCAATAGAGCAGTGCATTTGTAACAGAAATCAGTGACCACTTCCAGACAAATACCACCCAGAAAACAGGGGAGGCCACAGGGGAGACCACTAGGTGAGACAACTAGTTGGAAGTCTCCAGTACTGAATAGTATGGAGATTTCTATAGGAGGACTTGAATTTGAGGGAAGCCAATCTACTCCATATAGTCTGTACGATAAGATGGGTAACAGAATTAGAGTCCTTGAACTGGTTTCTAAATCTTCTATTATTCCTTTCCATCCACAAGTGGTAAACAGTGGCAGCCAAGCAGATTCAGCATATCAGTTTCTTCATTGACTCGCCCTTCCAGTTAAGAGCAGCCCAATCAACAAAATCATTCCAAGGCATAGACTGCCATAACTCCTCAGCACGTGAGAGAGTAGTAGACCAAACACTAGAGGAATAAGAACAAGCAAAAAATAGATGGGAATGTGATTCAGGAGAGGTCCTGCACAGAATACATCCAACTCCCAAGTGAGCAGCGAAGGATTGCATACGGTCAAGGGTACTAAGCCTGTTCCTAACAGCAAGCCAAAGGATGAAACACATGTTAGGTATAGAACTTTCGGACCAGACAAGTTTATACCAGCAGACAGGGGAATCCCATAGTCTGATTTGATCCCAAGTAGATATGGTGCTAAATCACAATCTGCCATTAGGAATCCACTTGACAGAGTCCTCAAGAGCAGGGTTGGGGAAATAGGAAGGCATGGAAATGACCACTTCATGGGGAAGATTGGAATAAAGTGGCCATTGTCATCTTTGCACTTGGGGCAATGACGCAGCTAGTGAGGTACTAAACTGGTAGATCCAGTCAAACTGATACTCTTTTGTTTTGGTAGGTAATTCACACAGGCTCCATTCAGCTGGGACTACGATGGATGGCTGATGAGGTCCACCACGCCTGCTTCATAATTAATCAGCATTCATGGAAGGAAATTTTTTACATGTTTTTCATTATTTTGTGATTAAAAAACTGTCAATGTTAGCTTTGTTGAGTTACACTTACTTTAGGCTGAAAGAAAACAGTATTGGTAAGAGAAAGGCTCCGACCATCATAGCATCCCTCATTTGTTTTTCAGTATACTATTGCAATTACTACGAAATAAGATTAAACTGTGAATTGGACAGGTGAAGCTAATGTAAAATAGGGTGGGGATCTATCAAAATATTTAAGGATTTATTCTAAAATATTAGAATGGATTCTTTAATATTGGAATCAATCGTTACATTCCATTTTTTTTTTGGTCATAATTTTGATCTCATTATCTAATAAGGTGATCTAAACGAGTTATAACTTTTAATTTGTACCTTCTTTGATACTATAGTTATTCATATTGAGAGGTAAATAGGGCATAACACACGTTGAGAAGTTCACCTTTCATAATATTAATCTTTCTCAAAGTAACAACACAATCCATATGAAAAATCTACATGAATTCTATTTTTGAACAATGTATTTTCTATGCTAATCTAAAGCATTCAATTATGTACACAAAACACATATGAACTACTCTCTATCTATCTATTTATCTAAGATGGATATGAAGAAAACGAATTCATGGGTATACAAGCAGAGTTCTTCCATGCCTTGGCATGCAATTTCAGGATCTCTCTAGCTCTCTCCTGGGTCTTGCTACCACAATCCACTTGAAGGAACAGGCAAGGCTTTGCCACCACACCAAGATTCAGCATCTCTTGAAGAACACTTGGAGTTGCAGAAAACTTCGAAACAAAAACTAGAATCCTCACAGTCCTTTCACTTGCCATCTTCGAAACCCTAATTATCTTCTTTGACACAATTGCTAACCCAGCTCCATGGTTCAACCACTCGGCTCTTCCTTCGGCACACTGGCACAGTTGATCCAACACCACTAGTATCATTTCACTGTCCCTTTTCTCATGGGCTTCGAGTAAAAGATCAATCAATTCTGGCACCGCGCCGACTTCGACTGTTTTGACTCTGTTTCTTCCCCATGGACAAACATTGATCAGTAGTTTCAGTGTATTTTTGGTGGCTTTGTGAGAGATCTGATCCTTCAAGACTTGGACTAATTGAACAAATAATTCTGGTTTCAAACTCATCAGCTGCATTGGATTCGCCACTTCGAAGATCGATTTCAATAACAGCACAGAATAAGTTCTCCATTCGAAGTTCCCACGTTGCATGATCTGTGTTAAGGAGTCAATGAATTCACCATTTTGGCCGGAGAGAGACTTGAGTCCAGCTTCTGATAATTCAAGATAATAGAGAATAATTAAGGCTTCATCATTGGCTTTTTTGAGATCAAACCCATCTTCCGATTCTTCTGACACTGATGGTGTTGTTTATGATTGAAGCTAAGAACTCTACGGCTCCCGTGGCTTCCATGCAACGTTTGTTTGCCTCACTTTCAGAAGCTAGTTATTTCAGTTTTTCGAGACATTTCATTTGTAATTGTGGAGATTTGGCATCACGGAGAAGCTTCGCCATCTGGGCTTTGTTGATCAGGGGCTATGGTGTTGGGAATCTTTCAATGCCATAGGAGGCGTTTATGCTGCACCATGATTGGATCAGTCGCCGGAGAGTGATGTTCGGCGTCAAATCGGAATCGGAGATGACTTGTTTAGTGACTGGGCACGCACTATTTTTCTCAGAAAGTATCCATTTCTCGATGCTTTCACGATCATATGTTATCCCCGTTGAGACTGTGACTGGGTCCTTCATGATGTCTAGAGAAATGGGGCAGAGGAAAAATGGAGGAACTTCAACTTCATCCATTAGAAGACTTCCCAAGAAGATCAAGATTCAGAAATCTAGCGCAAATATAGGAGACACTTTAAAGTCTTAAAAGAGAAGAAGATGTGGAGAAGTTGAACTATATCAAACACCCAGAAGGGTTAGCTGATCAGAATGGTAATATAAAGAGAAGCTTTAATTTCTTTGTTTAAATGTAGGAGGTGAAGCTGTTGGGGAGTTGTGAATTGTGATGGCCAAGCCCAACGACCAACTCATGTTATAAGCCAAGTTCAAGTTTATAATCCGACTTCAAGAGATTCAACAAATTCGGTCTAGTATGGCCAATCCGGTCAAGCTCATCAGTTTGGTCAGCCCAGTCAAGCTCAGCAGCTTGAGGAGCTAAGGGAGTAAGTAAGGTCATCCAAAGCTTTATCCTTGCTGCCCTGAAGATGGTCAACACCCAACTCATCATTTGATCGAATCTCATGAAGAGCACTGCAACTGCCTAGTACGTTGAGAAGAGTTCGCCAGGTCCAACAAACTAGCCAACTACTTACTAATATCTTGCCCAAATCTGTTAGGAGGGTAACTATAAATTGTAAGCCCCACCAACACTTGGGGGGAAGATCATACTTTACCTGAGCACGACTCTTTCCTCTCCTCAAAGCTTGTACTCTTTGCTCCCCACACCCCTGAGTTAATAAAATATCCGGCAACCAGAGCTATTGAAGAATGGACATAGGTTGAACTGACCGAACCATTATAAATTGCCTGTGTCTCTCCATCTCTTAATATTATTTTCTTGCACTTATTATTCACACTTGACAAGTGGTGTGCAAAACCATTTTGTGCATCATCAGTTTGGCGCTATCTGTGGAAACAACAAAATTCTCACTCCTAAACATTCCATTTGTTGAACCAATAGCAATCACTATCAGATCCATGAGCCAACCTAAAGACAATCCTCCACGAGAGGACAAGGTTACTTCTCCACCTACCAACTCTGTCCCAAATGCTCCAGCTCCAAATCCACAACAAATGCGGGAGACCATGCTGCAGCTAGTAGCCCAAAATCAACAGATACTACAACTCATGCTCGCTGGACAAGGAGGAGCACAACTTGGAGGTGTACATCGTGGAGGACCCCAAGGATTTCCACGCCCTGGACCTCAAGGAGCTCCACGCCTTGGATATAAAGGAGCTTCATGCCCTGGACATCAAGGAGCTGCACGCCCTAGACATCAAGGAGCTCCGCGCCCCGGACACTGAAGAGCTCCACGCCCTGGACATTAAGGAGCTCCACAACTTGCTGCTCCCCATTTGGGCACCCATGCAGGTCTGGGCGGCCCTTTTGGAGTCCCCTTGGGAGCTCCACACAGAGGAGCCCCTCATGAGGGACCTCCACCTTGTCCTGCTTCCCATAGTGAAGACCTTCGTCTCCAAGAAGATGAGGACGAAAACCAAAGCATAAAGTATGAGAGTCATTTCCATGAACATTCTAGAGGAGCCCTCAATCACTGGGACGAGAAAATTAAGGAAGTGCAAAATCAACTGGGTGACGTCTTCAACGCCATGAAGGCTCAGGGACCTAAGATATTGGACTACCTCATAAGGCAGACAGACACACAATTCAAACCTGACGTGGCGAACTACCCCCTCCCTCAAAAGTTTAAAATTCCATCCGTGGAGACCTTTGACGGAACGAAGGATCCACTTCATCTTCTCAAAACCTACAAGTCTTTAATGTAACTGCACGACGTCCCTGATGAAATTATGTGTAGGGCATTCCCAACTACCTTGAAGGGATCAGCGCGACAATGGTTAGCCAAACTCACCCTGGCTTCCATAGGCTCTTTCGCTGAATTGAGTAAATTATTTGTGGCACAGTTCATTGGTGGACTCCGCTAACAAAAGCTTGTCACCCATCTGCTCAATATAAAATAGGATCGATATGAGACTCTGAGGAGTTACCTCACTCGTTTTAACGAGGAGGTCCTCCAAATCGAGGAGCCCAATGACAAAGTCACCATAACCACCTTTATGGGAGGCCTCCACTCATCCAGATTCTTTTTTTCAATAATGAAGCAACCACTAAAGAGCATGCCAGAACTATTGGCAAAAGCTCAAAAATATATTAATGCTGAGGAAATCAACAAGTCCAGGCGAGGTAAATCATCTCATGGATCTCCAAAAGCTTGACCTACCTCTGCACTGTTTTTAAACAGGCAACCTCAATATCCAGCTTAGCAACTCTCTCACGGGTCGCCAAAAGCCTAGCCTGACTCTGCACTGTTCTCAAACAGGGCAACCTCAATATCCAGCTTAGCGACTTTCTTACGGGTCACCAAAAGCTTGGCCTCTGCGCTATTCTCAAACAGGTAGCCTCAATAGCAAGCTTAGCGACTCTCTTGCGGGTTGCTAAAAGATTGGCTTCTGCACTGTTCTTAAACAGGCAGTCTCAATATCCAGCTTCGCGGGTCGCCAAAAGCTTGGCTTCTGCGCTGTTCTCAAACAGGTAGCCTCAATATCCAACTTAGCGACTCTCTTACGGGTCGCCAAAAGTTTGGCCTTTGCGCTATTCTCAAACAGGCAGCCTCAATATCAAACTTAACGACTCTCTCGTAGGTCGCCAAAAGATTGACTTTTGCACTGTTCTTAACACAGGCAGTTTTAATATCCTGCTTAGCGACTCTCTCGCGGGTCGCCAAAAGCTTGGCCTTTGCGCTGTTTTCAAACAGACAGCCTCAATATCAAGCTTAGCGACTCTTTCACGGGTCGCCAAAAGATTGGTTTTTGCCCTGTTCTTAAACAAGCAGTTTCAATATCCAACTTAGCGACTCTCTCACGGGTCGTCAAAAGCTTGGCCTCTGCACTATTCTCAAACAAACAGTCTCAATATTAAGCTTAGCGCCTCTCTCGTGGGTCGCCAAAAGATTGGCTTTTGCACTGTTCTTAAACAGGCAATTTCAATATCCAGCTTAGCGACTTTCTCGCGGGTCGCTAAAAGCTTGGTCTCTGCACTATTCTTAACACAGGCACCCTATATCTCCAGCTGAGCGGCTCTTTTACAGGTCGCCAAAAGTTTAGCCTCTGCGCTGTTCTCAAATAGGCAGCCTATACCTCAAGCTTAAAGACTCTCTCATGGGTCGCTAAAAGCTAGGTCTCAAAAGGTGTAGCTCTCTCACGAGCAGTTCTCCAACTCTGTCTTTGCTCTTGTGCAAACAGCCTACCTCTCCCTACAGGTAATTATGTGAGATATTTTAATATTTGGAATAACATTATTTTTGTTATCACAACTAGGCTCCAAAAGTGCCTGATCTTATGTGCTCCCCCAACAAGGCAGCTCAGCACCTGGAGAGACGTCTGATCCTATGTGCTCGCCCAAACGAGGCAGCCCAGCACCTAGAGGGTGTCTAATACTCTATGCTCGCCCAAACGAGGCAGCGTAGCACTTGGAGAGGTGCCTGATCCTATGTGCTCGCCCAAACGAGGCAGCTTAGCACTTGGAAAGGGTGTTTGACGCTCTATGCTCGCCCAAACAAGGCAGCCTAGCACTTGGAGAGGTATCTGACCACCTTTGTTCACCCAAACGGGGCAACCCAATGCTACCTGGCCATCCACAGTTGCACAAAATAGCTTCAAAGGAGCCCAGATCAGCACCTAAAGTGGCACCTCCAGCTCCTGATGCCCAGGCATCCCAGGCTGCACATCCATCTCCGGATGCCCAGACATCCCAGGCTGCACCTCCAGTTCCTGATGCCTAGGCATCCCAGGCTGCACCTCCATCTCCTGATGCCCAGCCATCCCACGCTACACCTCCATCTCGTGATGCCCAGTCATCCCAGGCTGCACCTCCATCACCTGATGCCCAGTCATCCCAAGCTGCACCTCATCTCCTGATGCTCAGACATCCCAGGTTGCACCTTCATCACCTGATGCTCAAGCATCCCAGGCTGCACCTCCATCCCCTAATGCTCAGGCATCCTAAGCTGCACCTCCATCACCTGATGCCTAGGCTTACGCCCAGGCAATCCTTATCGGTGCCCAGGCTGCACCCCCAGGTCACCCAAGGCAGCCCTAGGCTCGCCCAGAACACTGTCTGCTCACCCAAAATGCACGCCTAGTTGCCTGCTCGAAGTTTTGACCATAAATTTTACTTTGTAATTTCAAACAGGAGTTTATTATATATCAAATTGAAGCTCTCGATGAGCCCTACAAGACTTATAGCCTTTAGCTGTGATTGATGGTATAAAAAGGCCCAGACACAAATGTTTTGACCTCCTAAAATTTAAAAAAAAAAAAAATTCTGCCCAACTCACCCAAGACAGTGCCCAGCTCACCCCGAAGCTGCCTGCTCGCCTAATTCTCTGCTCGAAGTTTTGACCGTAACTTTTGCTCCGTTACTCCAAATGAGGTTTATAATATATCAAATCGAAATTCTCGACGAGCCCTACAAGACTCATAGCCTTAGACTGTCAATGATTCTATAAAAAGTCCAAAAAAGACTTGGAAGCAGATGTTTTGGCCTCTCGAAGTTTTTTTTATTGTGCCAGTCAGCCAAAAATTCAAACTTAATTGAATGCCCTCCTTTCCAAGTTCTATTGGACACAGGGCATTGGGGGGCAAATGATGGGTCAAGCCCAAAGGTCCAACTCATGTTATAAGCCCAATTCAAGTTTATAGTCCGACTCTAAGAGATCCAGCGAATTCAGCCCAGTGTAGCCAACCCGGTCAAGTTCATCAGCTCTACCCGGTCAAGCTCATCAGTGTGGTCAGCCCGGTCAAGCTCAGCAGCTCAAGGAGCTAAGGGAACAAGTAAGGTCATCCAAAGTCTTATCCTCGCTGCCCTTGAGATGGTCAACACCCCACCTCATCCTTTGACCGAATCTCATGGAGAGCACCGCAATTGCCTAGCACATTGAGAAGAGCTCGTCAGATCCAACAAACTAGTCAACTACTTACTAATATCTTGCACAAGTATGTTAGGAGAGCGACTATAAATTGTAAATTTCATCAACACTTGGGGGACAAATCATATTTTACCTGAGC